TTTAGAATAGAAATAGAAAAATTGTTACAATACTATAAATATCATGATACATATGTAGAAGTGATATTTACCTTTTGCTCAGATCATAATAACATCTCACTATGGAATGACTCGCTTGGGCTTGCAATGCGAAAACTATATTGAAAAGCATAGAAGAATTCACTTCCTTGAAGCTACGGGAAAGGACAGGAGTCGGATGTCCAACGAAGCGAACGTCATTTACTTTCAATTCAAACTTTTGTTCACACAATTCTGGTTTTACAGCAAATAAAGTAGACAGAACCTCGTCTGTTAAACCAGTTAAGTTTCCATTACTCACGTTTGACGTTGGAAATGGCAAAGACTATCGAATAAAATAAAATTTATTGTACTTATCTAAATAGATAATCATTATATATTATATATTTAAGAGAAGAATTTGGAAACAATATATAGAAATGAAAATTTGTTGCAAATAGATTATATGTTTCGAGAAAAAGAAAAATCTCACCTGTAATAAGTCTTCAGTATTGATCAATGAATAAGGATTTTTTCGTTTGGTACATTGAGTGGAATCCCTTATATTATTAGTCATATGTGGATATCGGAATAACAATCTGTCACCTTTGCTATCACTTTTTACTAAAATGATACTGAGCGGATGAATCACCATAATTATTTGATGACAAATTTGTTCATATAAACAGTGTCTTTTTCTGCAAAAAAATAATATAAAATTTCTTTTTATATAGATTATAATTTTATTATTCGATTATAAAACAATATTGGATGTCTTCTTACATTCTTTGTTCACTTTTTTTTTTTTTTTTTCCTTTTTTTGGCTTTAGTATATAATGAATCGATATAGGTTAGGGTGCATTATTTATTGAAAATAATTTTAAATTACTCGGTAAAAGACGTAAATAAAATAAAAGACGGTAAATGTTTAGGTGCCACACCTCTGATTTTGATAAACATAGACTCATTCGACGCGTTTTTGCACAACACGAAAGAATCTGATAGAAAAAAGCGTCGCTCTGCCCCGCGAAACGAGATATTAATCGTTAAAGTTTCCATTATTCAGAATTAGGAAATCTGTTATACCGACAAAATGTGTTGA